GAATGGTTCATTAATAATATCCGCTGACGGATGATGACGTGTGTCAGAATAAATACCCACGTGGCTGGGCACCGTCCTACTGTGCTTAAGTTGGGATAAGTCGGCGACACGTCGGCAACGCGCCTTTCCACATCATCTACGTGACATTGCCGACAAATCCACTTATTTATTTATTATTTTTTCAAAATAATAAACAATTTTTTTTTTAAAACGCATTTTAATTCAAAAAAATAAAGATATGTTAACAAAATAATGATTGGAGATAGTGAGAAGAGAATTTTGTTTTAATATATTATAAAATAAATAAATTAGAATAAAGGAGAAAAAAAGGCAATAATATTTTAAAATGGAAAAGAAAAAAAAAAGGAAGAAAAATGGTGAGGCATATAATCTTGATGGTCCCACATAAGACGATACAACATTAATTTATGTTTTTTTCCTTTTTTTAATAATGTTCTAAAGATATGATTTTGTTGTCTGTTATTTTATCACTTGTGTATTTTCTTTTTGTTTTTTAAGACAAAAATAAAAGTTAAATGAGGGTAGAAGAGATGGATCAAAGATTTTATTCTTTTACGAACCAAAAAAATAGATTTTTTTTTTATAAAAGAGAAAAATAATATCAAAGAACGCTAATCGTGCTCGTGTTAGAGTTACAATTAGTCGTATAATGAATATTTAATTTAAAATATTATTTCTTCGAAATATAATCATATCAACCAATCAAATAAACTGTGATCAAGAATCAAAGTATGACAAGACATACAGTTATCTAACTTTTATGGTCTAATGGCTACCGTGACAAAATTACAAAGTAGAGTAACAAACAAAGAACTAACATCGTGTGTCAAGCTCCAACCTCGTTGTAATGACTACAATTTCTCGTGTTGAATCTTCTTCGGCCTCTTGCTTTAAAATGTCCATTTCTCTATTCCTTATTATGAGATCTCACATCGATTAGAGAGAGAAATGACTACAATTTTCCTGTGTCTTTGTTTCTATTGCATTCTATCTCATCGTATCAAATTCTGTTCTGCGATATTTGAGAATCACCGTCAATACCTCGGTGTAGGTCCGGGATAATCCTTTGTTCCACAGTCTGGGTCTATTTACAACTAGCCAATTAAGAATTCTCAGATGTACTAGTACTAGCAAGTGCATCTTTTATGCAGTCATCGATTCTCCCGAGAGGTCACAATTACCGCGAGCAAACATATTAATGACGAGGAACACATTTTTGCTATTCTACTAATACTTGTACTTGCTCTGCTATTCTGCAAAAGCCTGGCTGAGGAAGAATTACGGGGCGTAAAACAAAAAAATATGCTGATTCGGGTTGGGTATACTAAGCCTGGCTGAGGAAGAATTACGGGGCGTAAAACAAAAAAATATGCTGATTCGGGTTGGGTATACTATATTTGGCTGAGGAAGAATTACGGGGCGTAAAACAAAAAAATATGCTGATTCGGGTTGGGTATACTATATTTAATTTATAACGGAACCCCCGCCCTTAACCCATTAACGAAAAAGAAAAAATAAAAAGATAAGGCCATTCCATTTCGACAAAAGACCCACTTACATTGGGCTCCAACGGGGGTGGATTGTGAAATCTCACATCGGTTGGAGAGGGAACAAAACATTATTTATAAGGGTGTGGAAACCTCTCCTTAGTAGATGCGTTTTAAAAACCTTGAGCGAAAGTCGAGAAAGGAAACTCCAAAGATAACAATATCTGCTAATACACGTATAGTATATTTTTAAAAGTAGGCTCTCTGATCTATTGTCGAAATATTGTATTTATAATAATCAAAACAACATAGGAACGTTACGAGATAGTGTTGAGACATTGTTCCCAAATGCGTCAAGTAGATAAGAACAATTTTGGTAACGACAAGATATTATACTGTCGTGTTGAAAGATGTTACGGATGAAAGCTTTTAATGTGTGGGTATTTCGTGTCGAAGATAGACATACAACGTAAGACGTTGCAAAAGATGGTATAAGTGAGTGATGGAGCCCAAAGGAGTAACATAGAATGGAAGTGTTGTTTGGGTGGTGGGAATCAAGGTTTGTGAAGAGCTTCGAAATTGTCTCTCATGGGAATATGGATTTTCACTTTCCTCCAAAGTCTTCCTCCTTTTCTTTCTTCCTTGCTTCCCACTTTCTTTCCCTTCCCATTGAGTTGTTTGGGAAAGAGATAGGATAACGACGGTTAAGAGACCTCTCGTCTCTTCTTTCATTGTTGTGAGATCTCCCATCGGTTGGAGAGCGGAACAAAACATTCTTTATAACGGTATAAAAACCTCTCATTAGTAAACGTGTTTTAAAATTCAGACCGTCATATGTAATGGGCCAAAGTAGACAATATCTGCTAGTGGTGGGTTTGGGTTGCTACAATTTCCCTGTGAGTTGCCTTAGTTTCAACTTTTAATGGGGCTTCTAAGCGCGTAGAAACCTTTCCTTAGTATACATGTTTTAAATTTGTGAGGTTGATGGCGATACATAACATGCCCAAACACATAATATTTGTTAGGGGTGGGTTTGAGTTGTTACAGTTTCTCTTTTGAGTTGCCTTGGTTTCAACTTTTAATGGGGCTTACAATCAAAATTTACTCTCTTAGGGGTTTGGGGCAGCTTACTCGAACGTTGCCCGCTCATTATAGATCTTAAAATTTCAATTAAAGATATGATCAATCCAGATCACTCGAAGGTTACTTGCTAGTTATAGATCTTAAAATTCAATTTAAAATAAGGGTATTCATATAGTCTAATAATCTTACCCATTCGAACTACTCAACCCAAACCATTAAGGTCGAACTGGGTTAGATTATTTTTCGATTTGAGTTGGATCGGTTTGCAGGTTGACATTTTTTTAGTCGGGTCAACCCAACCAACCCAAAAAAAATAAGGCTATTATCCAACCTAATCCTACTCTACTTGTGAAAAAAAATTAAGAATATCTACACTTTATAACCGATATTAGTAATGGATTGTGACTTACAAATGTTTGATATTTGAACTTTACAAGACTTTAGTCAGTTATTAGTGTAACATAATTCGGATTGCTCGAGTCACCAACTCAACCAGTTCGGAATTTCAAGTTGATCCAAAATATTTTTCCAATTCAACTCAATCCAACCGGCATAGACCCGACCGTTTTAAAATGGGTAGCTTCATGAAAAAGGGGAATGATAGGGAAAGGAAAAAAGAAAAAGGGTAAACTTATGAGTAATTATAAGAAATTGCATTATCATAAATCTATCTGGATTCCATTATTGTCATAGCTTCAACCAAAAGCCACACACCTATCCTATGTGTTTGTTCTCAATTAAAGCATTGCTTTCTTTTCTTTTCTTTTTTTTTTCTTTTTTCTTTTAATGATATTATTCTCGAGAGGAAAATTATTTTAAATAAACCTCGAATTATTCCTAGGATTGTTGTTAGACCTGGTACGGATTATTCTAGCCTTTCGAGAGCACGGGAGAACCTGGAGAAGTAGTTTATGGCTCCAAGATGGTTCATCGATTATCCCTAGAATTATCGTTAGACCCCATAGAGATTATTTTGATCTTTTATAGATTCGTGAATTTGTCCCTTTTGGTCGAGGCCCAAGCCCATTCATGAAGGCCCAAATGAATCTGGGTTCTTTTTTAAATAACGTCACTTTTGATATGCTTTGGGTAGCATAAAACGACGTTTCTTATCCATGGTGTTCATATGCCTCAGACTTAATAAGAGAAACGTGTGCCTTTGTATTTCCCTAACACTAGTCACAACCATCTATTTTCTATAGCAGTTTTAATGTAACCTTACCAGCATTCTTGGTTTATTCGTTGCAGGATTATGACACTACTCGCTCGGGTCTTGAACATCATTATCCAACTTATCTTCTTCGCTTAATGAATCATTTGGAATCTTGCTCGATTCTTACAAAAGTTATACAAATATCTTAGTGAAAATAGCTCAAAATATACTCTGTTATTATTAGGAACAAAATGTTGGCTAAAGATTTATATTGACGACCCTCAAGTATCTATAATAATAGAGAATGAGCACTGGTCGGAGAAATATATAGTTTAGTTTAGCATATATAGTTTTGCTAGACATAGTCATCTCGTATATATAATCATCTATCATATTGATCGTTATATAGTTTTATTATGTATAGCTATGGAGTAAGTTATAAATAAGCCGTATGCTCCATAACTTAACAATTCTACCACTTGAAGACTTGATTCTCTTCGATCGGCATCTTCCAGAAATCAAGATTAGATCCATCAAACTTTTCGATTCCAATCATTGAGCTTTCCATTTTCACGTATTGTGATGAATACCTCGTAACACTGATACTAGTTGTTATGACCCACAACAATTCACCCACTCGGTCTAAATAAAAAGATCATATAAAGAAAATATGGCTAGAAGTTTATACTGATAATTGTTAGTATCGCACAATTATTTAGGCATGCCCTTCTTCGTGGATGTCAAAAGAAACCTGCACCTTTTGGTCTATCCTTCCGTTTATTGGCCAATTGCCTGAGTTGGATCTCTTCAAGTTTTTTACCTCTAAACTTGTTGGTGGTATCAATTTTTATCCAACACTCATAGACATTTTAACGGTCTAAAGTTCAATGATATTTTTGTAACAATTTTGAAACAAAGATATTTTTAAATTTTTATTAATTTCTTTTACAGTATTTTTTAAAATTTTTAAAAAATTTAAAGATATATAGATATTTTTTTTTAGAGTATTTTTATTAATTTAGAAAACCATAAAATTTAAAAATAACATTTCTTTTGATCAAACTTAAATTTTTGCAGATTTTTGTATTAAAAAAAGTTCAAGTGAAAATTGATACAAATTTAATCATAAAAATTAAAAAAAAATAAGAAGAGAAAATACAAAATAGATAAACGACGTCACTTTAAGCCATCACTTTCACATATACTATTTTACTTTTTTTTATTATTTTTTTATTTATTTTATCAAAACTACAAACTCATAAAAGAAAAAGAAAACACTGATATCTGATATCACTCAAACACTGATATAATACTCAGATCAGTTCTCCTTCCTTGTGTGTGAGAATCACACAGTCTGAAGTTGGGTGTGAAATACAGGTTAACAAATACCCCTCTTCCATTTGACTATCGTCCAGGAACGACCCGTCCGACTGATCGACTGAACCCGAAACGAATTTCCCAGCGCATGTAGAGCACGCCCCTGCCCTGCAAGAATATGGAAGGTCAATTCCTGCTTCTTCCGCTGCATCAAGAATGTAAGTATCATCAGATGCCTCAAACTCGTGCTCTTTCCCACACGGTTCGATAAGTTTAATCTTGTACACTGCCATTGCAGTGGTTCTGGATGAGGGTGATGATTTCAAGCCGAACGATTTCGATATGTTGCTCGTGGATCCTATCGAAGATGGACACTTGATAATGGTGCTTCTGAATTGGTTTTTACACGGCGCCGACGTGTTGAACATGGTGCGGGAAGGAAGCTTTGCAGTTGACATGGTTGACATTTTTGGTCCTATATCCATGAATCACATTTAAAATGGTGTGGCTTACAAGCAAATGAGACATGAACAAGCAAATGGAGAAAATCTAAACAATATATCAAGCAAGCACCAAGATGAATGATCAAAAGAAATTTTAAGAACTATCTTCTTCATTTTCTTCTCCATTATTCTTTGGAATGGAGGGATTTGTACAAGATTATTGGGAGGGGAGTCCCACGTTCGCTAATTTAGGGAATGATCATGAGTTTATAAATAAGGAATATATCACCATTATTACGAGGACTTTTCGAGAATCAAAGCCACAAGAGCTTATGCTCAAAGTGGGCAATATCATACATTGTGGAGGGTCGTGATTCCTAACACGGTATCAGAGTCATGCCCTTAACTTAACCATATTAATCGAATCCTCAAGTGTCAAACAAACGATATCAAAGCCATGCCTTTAACTTAACCATACTAATCGAATCCTCAAGTGTCAAACAAAGGGTGTACTTTGTTTGAGAACTCCGAGAAAGGAATCGAGGGGAGAACATCTCCATTGGTATGATGCCAAGAAAGCTCAAAGCAAAGCCATGAGAGCTTATTCTCAAAGTGGACAATATCATACCATTGTCGAGAGCCTGATCGAGCCTGATCTCTAATCGTATGGTCTGAAAATTGGGCATCCACTATTCAAATTAAGAAAACTGTGACCAATACAGCAAAATTTTTGGTATTTTGTATGCCTCTGAAACATAGAACATGAGTAGCAGTAAAGGTATAGCTATTCATTGTTTATGGAGGAAATTGATGTATGGAGCATTATGAGAAGATGCAGCCTAATGGCTTTTCTGCTCTTCACTCGAAGCTCCATGAAGTAATTACATCCAAATAAAACGAACAAATCCAGATCTCAGATTCTCACTTCCATTTGTTCATTATCAATCCAAAGTTCTATTTCATAACATTTCAAAAATTCGAAACAACAATCAAGCTTCTGATGCTACATAATACGCTTTCCAATCTATAAAACTCATTATTTCTTTTCCACCAAGCAATTATTTGATTTGCAAGGGATAAAGCAGAAATAGATTATGAAACAAAAACACAGAGAGATCAAATAAAAACATAACAAATTTCATGATCGAGAAAAATGCGAAAGAAACAAGAGAAAAGGGGTAAAGGGAAAGAGAAGCTTACGGAGAGGGAGGCGGTGGAGGCGGCGGAGAAAGCGAAGGTACAAAACGAAACGCAGCCCTAGAGATTGAATGATGCGATGATTAGGGCAATGTGGAAGAGCATATAAATAAGGAGGAGAGAAAGGGAGAGAAGCTGGCTTTTGGGATGTGCAGAAAGGCGAAGGGAGTGGAGATTGTGCCATTTGCAAGCTTCCAAGAGCCAATTCAGGCACCGATCAACCTCCCTTTGCTCTATAAACTATAAACGTTGTTACCCATCTCTGACCTTTGAACACAATCGTTCCACCATGTGGCCCGTTTCATCAACCATTTCTCAAAATAGGATTCAGTCATGTTTGTTTAAGGCGTGTGTTGCCTATACCGAATGTTGGATATTCCAGTCATGTGTTTGTTCATGGTTTCATCTTAGAGAGGTCTTTATCGTTTCATGTAGTGTCAATGTGGAGTACATGATCGTCCACCAAAATCATATTTACCCTTTTTACATGCTTTCATCTTAGAGAGGTCTTTATCGTTTCATGTAGTGTCAATGTGGAGTACATGATCGTCCACCAAAATCATATTTACCCCATTAAGGCTAAAATGTCTCAAAATGTACAATAGGAATATGCGACTAATCGTCAATTCTTCCTATCTCGAAATATATGATATTATATGATATTGGCCCAACCATTTCTCAATATACTAGAGTAGTCAAATTCAAATTGATATCCAACTAGTGATAAGAATATTTTAAAAGAATTATTGAAAAGAATGAATAAAGATGAATATTATTTTGGAGTTGAGTCATCACTTGGAGGCTGCTGAAGATACCACTTTACAAGTTACAAATTCCATGATAAAAGTGATAAAATTGGATGAACTCATTTCAAATGGTGTTTGTTGAAACTATTGTAATGTGGGAGTGTGCTGAACGAACGGTAAACAAACACTCAAGAGTTTACGAACTTCACTCATGAATCGGATGACTTTGTGAAAACGAAGATCTTAATCCGATGGAGTCTTTCTTTACCGTTCGTGTTTGAATAACGAACAAGGCTATGTCTAGAAGCGTAACGTAACAAAACATATTGAAAGCGATTCCTTTGTCGTTCTTACAAATCCCCCCCAAAGCCTATCTCGATTGGATGTTGGTCCAGCCTACTATGAGGATCCCGTATCCAACAACCCAACCTAAAAAAAGGGCATAAACAACCCAACCTATCTCGGCTGGAGTTGTGACATCCAACATCAATTGAGAACTACGAGAGTGTGAAAACCATTTCAAAAAGAACAATATCCACTAACAATAAATTTAGTCGGTTACTAATAGTATCAAAACCAAATCACCATCCATGACACTCAACGGAGTAATACTAGACCCAAAGACAACATCCACGACACTCAATAGAGTACGGCTAGACCCTCTCCATGATAGAGGAGTTTTAAAATCACAAGACTAACAACCATACAACCGTCTATGCCCACAGTGAAGTGAGCACTTCCAAATGATCGATATGAAATATAGAGGGAAGATACCAAATCTTGTGATACCACCAGCCGCAGTAAATGCAACAAATCATGTGATCAAACGACATGATGTGGATTGGGTTAGTATGAATAGAAGTTTCATTATCAAAAGTTCACTATTTAAAGGAGAAAACGCATCTTTGTTTCTTTGTTCAAGAATCATACCCAAAAACGCTCAATTCACAAAACTGCTCTTCGAGAAAATAACTTCAACAATAAAAGGAACGAACACAAGATTGACAAGTTTCCTAACAGAGCTTAGAAAACCCGGTACGACTTCCCCATTGTGCTCTTCAGGTACAGGCACCTAACCTGCAAGAAACAAGCAATAGCCATGAGTGAAAATGATGAAACAGATCAAGTTCAAGTTTAAGGCAGAACCGAGGTGGAACTTACGTTCTGCCAGTTCTTTTTCAACAATGAAACCAGGAAATTAACGCTCATTTGCACGTTTTGGAAGACTTGCTTCTCCTCCATGGCAACATTCCCAACGGCAACCCCCATGCAAAGAACCTTCTTAAGTTGAAATTTGACCATTGCCTTGGTCTCGTTAACTTTCGATTCCAGCGATTCTTGGTGTGTCACCAATGTTGGGAACTTTCCTGGAATGGTAAAAAGGGTGGAGGAAACAGAATTAAAATATAATACGAGCCGATAAAAGATCTAGCTTTGACTACCTTCATTTCTGTGAAACATAAACAAGGATAGAGTTTTCAGGAGGTTATCAATTATACAATTTCATAAAGAAAAACAGTAAAACAGTATGTTTAATGAATGTTCTTGCCTGCTTTGTTGAGACCAGGGCCGAGAAGACGTGGGATCTGCTTAATTACAGCCTCAGATGCCAAAAAGGCATGGTATTTCTTGGCAAGCTTCTTCACCAATTTCTTGTTTTTGTTTAGCTTCTTCAAGCCTTCCACATCCATGTAGTCTAGACCAATCTTTTCGGCCTGAAATATATTTTAATGAAACCCTGTCAGGATATGTCCTCTAAGCATATGGAAAACTAACTACAGGTAGAACCAATGAATTGATACGCGTCAAATTATCCACATAATAAACAACCACAATACAGAAAAGTGGTCATGAACTGATATCAAATAATTGGAAACGTTAGTATTTAGGCTCATACGCACCAGAAATCCTTAAACAGTAGTACAGGAACAGAGAATATATTAACAGATTTGATAAAATTAAACATTAGAAATATGTCAAGTTCCAAATTTTGAACATTAGAAAATAAATTACTATGGGTTGCAAAAAGAATTGTTTAAGATTTAGGAAGTAAAATTACCTCCTCAACGTGCAAGGCATCTCCAAGCATGCAAAGCTTCATCTTGGGACGGGGAATGTGCGGCAACTTCACAGAACCACTGAAACGCTTGTCCTTTTGAGGGTCATAGTTCTTCAGACCGATCTGAAGCTCAATGGTCTCAGTAAAATTTCTCTTTTTCTCATTGCTATCAGTGAAGATAGATGAGATAGCTTCTCTCAATGCCTCACTCTGAAGCTTACTGTAGAAAGAAATGATGACCAAATAAGACCCCAAACACTAGGTATAATCAACACGATGCTACATTGAAAATTTTAAAGGAAGCACATGAATGCAAACCTACTTCCTAACTATCATCCATCCATAACACTCTCAAAACTTCACAATACTCGAGATGGTAGATTAAATTATTCAGAATCGATTATTTCCAAAGACCAGCCACCAAAAAACTCAAAACAGTAAAATCGAATAAAGTAAATAACGTGTGCCCATCCATCATAACTAGCTAAAATTCATATACAAACATAAATGAGAAAACAAAACAGATATCGAAACCAAAGAAAATGCTGTAAAAAATACCTCATATTCGAATCCTCGCCTTTGCAAAGATGCTCTACACTTCAGTCCTGTGCACAAACAGAGTTCAAAAAACGTAAGATCCTTGACCAGAAGCAAAAATCAATCGAGAAAACATGAACATGAGCAGTAAACGAAACAAAACTGCAAATCGGACCAAAAAGAAAGCACTAACAGAGAATAAATGCGGAAAACTCAAAAAAGCATGAACTGAGAATTATTGTAATGCTAAAAGGTTGTGACTTGAGGAGGGAACGTATTAGAAGCGACGGCTTACCGGAGGAAAAGAAAGAGATGAAGAAATTAGGGTTTAGAGAAAGGAAAATATATACGTGCCTAAGAGAGAGATGGAGCGTCGAAACTGGGCCGTCCAATTTGCTACGATACCTTCATGGGCCTAGAAGCCCATTTAACTATTTTCTAGACCCTTAATACGACAGATAAAAATAATAATAATAATAATAATAAATAAATAAAAGAATTAACAAATAAAATGATAAATTACTAATAAAAAAAAATTATAATTACATCTTGGCAACTTGGAAGGGGAATATATATCAAGGATGATGTAGTAACATGTGAATAGGATTTGGAAGTCGATTTTCGCTGAACCAAATCACGAGCATGTGGTGTTATAAATGGTATCGAATCAGTACGTCTCCCAATAAGATGTGGTTCGGGAATGAATGATGGCAAAAGTTAGTAGGCACGTGACACCCAAGTAAATAATGGTGCATGAATTAACTGAGACTACATCTGAATGAGAGCGATCCTGAAAATAGAATAGCTAAAATACGTTTAAAATAATTGAAAGTTGCTACCCAGCTAGGTGCATTTTCGTTTTCAGTCAACTCAATTACAAAAACTTCAAAATAAAAAGTGTTTTCTTTAGACCAATTACTCCTATATATACCCTAAGAAAATGTTTGAGATTCATTTGTTTTTTTTTTTACTTTTCTATGTATAATGGAAATACCAATCAACCTTATGCCGATCTCAAATCATAGACATATGAAAATGTTGAGGCGTTAATGAAAATTTAAAGCTATTTTAATATAATCATTGTATGAAAATTCAAAGTTATCAGTGCAATCTTAACCCGTGTGTGGTTGACATACACAAAGACCATGTTCGAGCCATAACCAACGGAGATTCAAACTTGATAATTGATATACTTTATAGATTTTGTTGTCCCATACAAACATGGGGCCGATGAACTCATTCGCTTTTGACAGCATCATAGATACGACGAACGAAAATCAAGGCGACGCGAAAACTTACAACTCCCAGCATCAGGAAGAATGCGTAACATATACAAGCATTATAGCCTACAAAGAAGCAAAGCTGCAAGAAACCATTCATATTCAACCTGGCATAGAAGTATATGCAATATCCAAACATAAAGATGGCCGTTGAGCCCCCGGAGAACACCGATCTGCACAGTCGAAAAGGCAGAATCTTATAGAAGAAAACGGATAACATTCGAAAAGGAACAAACATGCATCATGAAGGTCGGACATAGTAGATACCTCCACCACCATTGGTGATCTTCAACAGACAGCTGAATGTAAGTCAAACCAACGCTCAAGATAGCAGTGAGTATGATAAGGATGATGAATGTGATGAACAAAGTGCTCGGAAGGGTGAAAATTTTGAACCCCCACATGCTTGCATACAAATGGTGCAGTTCAAGAACAACGGCACTGAACGACAACAGACCACTAATGAACATTTGACAAGGGAGTTTTCTGAACCAAGCCAATGGAGGAATGTCTCGCACGATCCGCTTGGTGGCACAAGGCGCTTGAAACTCGGATCTCAAACGATATCCAATTATCCCACCAAATGCAAGCAATGGGAGACTGATAAAAGTATATATCATAAAAAGCACTCTAATGGTACCAAAAGGAAGTGCTGCAGTAGTCCCATTAGATATAGCAACAATATTAAGGATAGAAACTATGACCAATGATGGCCCCAAATACAGAATCCCTGATAGAATAACACTTTTCTCCTGAAAATAAGGAACCCCATATCAAAAGAGAAGAATTTAAAAGATCATGTGCAGCTGAAAGAACATGGCAAATAAATATATATCACAGAATTAACACGAAGAGAGCAAACTTTACCCATCCATTTTCGTTAAACTGGCAGTAGAAAGAAGCAGATGTATATCCAGATACCACAGATGTAAGAGAATAGATCAAAATAATAGAAGTGAATAGTGTCCCTCGATTGTACGGATAAAGGATTCTCAGAGACGACAGGAGAAATAAACTGCAAAGCCTATTGAAGAAAATTATATACAAAATGAGTGAAATAAAATCATAAGAATAGACGATGATCACAGTGAAACTGATACAAGTATTAGTCTACATAACATAATATTTCGGTATTCTGAGTCCACCAGAAACTTTTTGTTTATGCAATCTGTTGTAATTCTGGACTACCAACTTATTTTCTTCGGTCTGCTAATTTTTGGCCACTTCAGATCTTGATGTCATACTTCCCACTATATGACACCTTCTAGACTACCAACTTATTTTTCTTCGGTCTGCTAATTTTTGGCCACTATGTATCAATAGATACATGTACATGTACATGAAGGTTCATTAGTTCATATTAATTAGGAGCATGATTTTAGTTTATACATGAATCACACTTAATTAGGTGCATGGTTTTTGGATCATGAATGGTATTGGAGAATATCCCAAATTATCTATATATACATATGTTGACATTGGTAGAAGACATAGAAAAACAATTTAGAATCATGTCCTAGTAATACAAAGTTCTACCAAATTTCTTGTTGTCACCAACAATTGGTATCAGAGAGATCTTGTTAAATTTCTCTGCTGTCACCAACAATTGACCAACAATTGGTATCAGAGCAATCTTGCAACAACAAAAATAGCAGCAAAGAGACAAGTTGATAACTTTATTCAATCCGTCATCCCAATATTTGATGATCACTAAGGTCAATAACTACTTATTTCAGTCCATTGATCGGACTATGTTGGAAACGATATTTCAAAAGAAGACGTCCAAAGAGATTTGGGATTAAATGAAGAGGAAGTAACAAGCTCAACGAAAGTAAAGCATGCTCAACTTCAAGCAATTAGAAGAAACTTTGAAATTCTCCAAATGTAAGAGGCAGAAACAGTGAATGATTATATTGGCAAGGTTATGAGTCTTGCAAATAAAATGAGGATGCATGGTGATTCAATCACTGATGTTGCAGTTGTAGAAAAGATTTTGCGATCTCTAACTCCAAAGTTTGATTATATTGTATGTTCTATTGAAGAAGCAAACAATGTCGAAGATATGCAAATTGATTAACTTCAAAGCTCCTTGCTAGTGCATGAGCAGAAGCTTAATTGCACGAGTGCAATAGAGGGGATGACAACCTTAAAGATATCCACAGCAGGTGAAGCTTCAAGCTCCAAAGGTGGAGGGCAAGGAAGAAGCAGAGGTCGTGGAAGAGGCGGTCAAGAAAGAAGTAGAGATATTGTCAGGATATCCACACTAGGTGAAGCTTCAAGCTCCAGAGGTGGAGGGCAAGGAAGAAGCAGAGGTCGTGGAAGAGGCGGTCGAGAAAGAAGTAGTAGACATGTTATCAGGTCAGCAGATTAGTCAGATACGATTATGACAACAAAGGCAAGGGACATTTTGACAAATCTAAGGTGGAATGCTATAATGTAGATGTCTTGGACATTACAAGAATGATGTTATACCAGGCTGAAAAAGGACAAAGGAGATCAATCCAACTTTGCAGGGAAAAGAGAGAAGAAACTTTGTTGATGTCATTCCATGCAATGAAGGTTGCAGATCAAGATGGGTGGGTCGTAGACTCTGGAGGTAGCAACCATATGATAGGTTGTAGAAAATTCTTCTCAATTCATAAAAGTTTTTGTACTACTATTTGTCTTGGGAACAATGCAACCATCTAAGTGATGGGGAAAGGAGCAGTAGATATCAAGATTCTTCTCAACTTTTGATGAAAGTTTTTGTACTACTGTTTGCCTTGGCAACAATGCAACCGTCCAAGTGATGGGAAAAGGAGCAGTAGATATCAAGACCAGAAATGGCTTTGTACAGCCAATTTCTAATGTGTTTTACATTCTTGATTTGAAGGCCTTAGTATCGACCAATTGCCAGAAAAGGGTTATGTGATCACATTTCAAAATAATGAATGTGAGATTTATGACTTCAAGAGGATCGATTGCTAAGATGAAGATGACCACCAATCGGTTATATCTGTTGACATTAAATATCATTGTCGAGGTGGAGAAAGAAGATATCAACTGGCTTTGACATTTTAGGTAGGGTCATCTTCACTTTAAAAGGTTAAAGATGTTGTCTTCAAAGAATATGGTGATTAGTCTACCAGACATCACCCCTTCCTCGAAAACTTGTGAGAGTTGTGTGGTAGCAAAGTATGAAAGAGATTCATTTCCATTCGCGAAATCAAGAAGAGCTCAAACAATTTTGGAGTTGGTTCATTCAGACTTATGTGGTCCAATCTCTTCAGCATCAAATGGTAACAAGAAATATTTCAAGGCTCTCATGGATGATTTTAATAGAATAACATGGATTTATTTCCTGCGCACCAAATCAGAAGCCTTTAATTACTTCAAAAAAATTTGTGTACGATGAAAACTAAAACTGGAAGAAGAGTTAAGGCTTTAAGAACTAATAGAGGTGGAGAGTTTTGCTCTAACGAGTTTACTAAGTTTTGTGAAGAGAAGGGCATAAGGAGGCAGTTCACAACAACATATACACCACAAAAAAAAAAAAATGGTGTGGCCGAAAGGAAGAATAAGATCATTCTCAACATGGTTCGAAGTTTGCTAAATAAAGGAAAAGTTTCGAAGGAATTCTAGCTAGGAACTATTGTATGGGTCAGCTCACATTTTCAACCAAAGTCCTACTTTCTTTGTTAGGGATATAACTCCACAAGAAGCATGGAGTGAAAGGAAGCCTGTGGTGAATCACTTTATAATTTTTGGATGCATTGCATATGCACATGTTCCTAATGAGAGAAGGAAGAAACTCGAGGACAAGAGTTTAAAATGTGTGTTCCTTGGAGTAAATGAGACTTCCAAAGACATACAAACTCTATGATCCATTGACAAAGCAGATGGTGGTAAGCCGCGATGTGATATTCGATGGAAATGGAAAGAAAAGGTCACTGTGAATCAACAAATTCTCATGGATCTTGAAAAAGAAGTGGAAACCCCTGTGAGCATGGAGAGAGCCTGTGAATCAACAAATTCTCATGGATCTTGAAAAAGAAGTGGAAACCCCTGTGAGCATGGAGAGAGCTCACCACAAGCTCAATAAGTAGACTCAATATAAGAAAAAGATCAGGATTACAATCAAAGAAATCCAAGAACAAGAAAGAGACCGACTTGGATGATTGATTATGAGATGATTATGACTCAAGTTCTAATAGGGCTTATTTTGCATTATTTATGGATAATAATCCAATTATGAGATGATTATGACTCAAGTTCTAATAGGGCTTATTTTGCATTATTTATGGATAATAATCCAATTGTCTATGAAGAAGCTGTGGAGAGAAGTCATGGACAGTGAAATCAGATCCATGAAAAAACAATAAGATGAGATCCAAGCTGGTCTCTTTTTTGTTCTTGGATTTCTATCATGATCTTCTTCTTCGGTCGATTATTCTTGTTTTGCTCTAACGAGTTTACTAAGTTTTGTGAAGAGAAGGGCATAAGGAGGCAGTTAACAACAACATATACACCACAAAAAAAAAAAAATGACGTGGCCGAAAGGAAGAATAAGATCATTCTCAACATGGTTCGAAGTTTGCTAAATAAAGGAAAAGTTTCAAAGGAATTCTGGCCAGGAACTATTCTATGGGTCAACTCACATTTTCAACCAAAGTCCTACTTTCTTTGTTAGGGATATAACTCCACAAGAAGCATGGAGTGAAAGGAAGCCTGTGGTGAATCACTTTATAATTTTTGGATGCATTGCATATGCACATGTTCCTGATGAGAGAAGGAAGAAACTCGAGGACAAGAGTTTAAAATGTGTGTTCCTTGGAGTAAATGAGACTTCCAAAGACATACAAACTCTATGATCCATTGACAAAGCAGATGGTGGTAAGCCGCAATGTGATATTCGATGGAAATGGAAAGAAAAGGTCGCTGTGAATCAACAAATTCTCATGGATCTTGAAAAAGAAGTGGAAACCCCTGTGAGCATGGAGAGAGCTCACCACAAGCTCAATAAGTAGACTCAATATAAGAAAAAGATCAGGATTACAATCAAAGAAATCCAAGAACAAGAAAGAGACCGACTTGGATGATTGATTATGAGATGATTATGACTCAAGTTCTAATAGGGCTTATTTTGCATTATTTATGGATAATAATCCAATTGTCTATGAAGAAGCTGTGGAGAGAAGTCATGGACAGTGAAATCAGATCCATGAAAAAAAAATAAGATGAGATCCAAGCTGGTCTCTTTTTTGTTCTTGGATTTCTATCATGATCTTCTTCTTCGGTCGATTATTCTTGTTTTGCTCTAACGAGTTTACTAAGTTTTGTGAAGAGAAGGGCATAAGGAGGCAGTTAACAACAACATATACACCACAAAAAAAAAATGGTGTGGCCGAAAGGAAGAATAAGATCATTCTCAACATGGTTCGAAGTTTGCTAAATAAAGAAAAGTTTCGAAGGAATTCTGGCCAGGAACTATTGTATGGGTCAACTCACATTTTCAACCAAAGTCCTACTTTCTTTGTTAGGGATATAACTCCACAAGAAGCATGGAGTGAAAGGAAGCCTGTGGTGAATCACTTTATAATTTTTGGATGCATTGCATATGCACATGTTCCTGATGAGAGAAGGAAGAAACTCGAGGACAAGAGTTTAAAATGTGTGTTCCTTGGAGTAAATGAGACTTCCAAAGACATACAAACTCTATGATCCATTGACAAAGCAGATGGTGGTAAGCCGCAATGTGATATTCGATGGAAATGGAAAGAAAAGGTCACTGTGAATCAACAAATTCTCATGGATCTTGAAAAAGAAGTGGAAACCCCTGTGAACATGGAGAGAGCTCACCACAAGCTCAATAAGTAGACTCAATATAAGAAAAAGATCAGGATTACAATCAAAGAAATCCAAGAACAAGAAAGAGACCGACTTGGATGATTGATTATGAGATGATTATGACTCAAGTTCTAATAGGACTTATTTTGCATTATTTATGGATAATAATCCAATTGTCTATGAAGAAGCTGTGGAGAGAAGTCATGGACAGTGAAATCAGATCCATGAAAAAAAAATAAGATGAGATCCAAGCTGGTCTCTTTTTTGTTCTTGGATTTCTATCATGATCTTCTTCTTCGGTCGATTATTCTTGTTAAGCTTGTGATGAGCTCTCTCCATGCTCATAGTAGGTTGAATAGGGCTTTCAACTTGTTCTTCTTCAAGATCCACATGAATCTGCTGACTCATAGTGACCTTTTCTTCCTATTTCCATGACTTCTTTCCATTGAAGATCACATTGTGGGCAAACCACCTTCTTTGTCAATGGATCATAGAGCTTATACGCCTTAAAAGTCTCACTTACTCCTAGGAATACACATTTTAAACTTTTGTCCTCAAGTTTCTTTTTCTCTTATCAGGAACATGTGCATATGAATATGACCAAAGAATCTAGAGTGATCCAGCTTCCTTCCACTCCATGCTTTTTATGGAGTCATATCCCTAACATAAGGCTTCGATTGAGAATGTGAACGGACATATGTAGTAGCTTATGGCCAGAATTTCTTCGAAACTTCTCCTTTATTTAGCAAACTTCAAATCACGTTAAGAATGGTCCTATTCTTTCTTTCTGTCACACCATTTTGCTATGGTGTATATGCTGCTGTCAACTGCCTCCTTATGTCCTTCTTTTCACAAAACTTAATAAACTCGTTCGAGCAGAACTCTCCACCTCTATTAGTTCTTAAAGCCTCAACTCTTCTTCCTTTCTCAATTTTTATCATAGCACAAAAATTCTTTAAGCAGGCTTCTGATTTGGTGTGCAAGAAATAAATCCATGTTTTTGTACTAAAATCATCCATGAGGGTCATGAAATATTTCTTGTTACCCTTTGATGCCGGAGAGATCGGATCACATATGTTTGAATGAACCAACTCCAAAATTGATTGAGCTTTTCTTGATTTTCCGAATAGAAATAATTCTCTTTCATGCTTTACTAGCACGCAGCTCTCACAAATTTCTGAGAGAGGAGTGATGTCTAGTAAACCAGTTACCATATTCTTTGAAGACAATGCCTTTAACCCTCTCAAAGTGTAGATGATCATACCTAAAATGCCAAAGCCAGTTTTTCTTCACCATCAAACTTCTGGTAATGATATTTAATGTCAATGGATATAACCGTTGGTGGTCATCTTCATCTTAGCAATCGATCATCTTCTAGAGTCATAAATCTCACATTCACTATTTTGAAATGTGATCACATAATCCTTTTTTTGCAACTGACCGATACCAAGCAAGTTGACCTCCAAATCAGGAATCTAAAACACATTAGAAATTGACTCTACAAGCCATTTCTAGTCTTGAGATCTATGGCTCCTTTTAACCTTACTTGAACTTTTGCATTGTTGCCAAGACAAACAGTCATATGGTTGTTGCATCTAGAGTCAACGACCCACACCCTCTTGATCTACGACCTTCATTGCATTAAATGACATCAACAAAGTTTCATCTCTTTTTTCAACAAAATTAGATTGATCTCCTTTCCCCTTTTTTCCGCCTGGTATAACATTTATTCTTGTAATGTACAAGGTGTCCACATTTGTAGCATTCCATCTTAGACTTGTCAAAATGCCCCTTGCCGTGGTTGCCATATTGCCTTCGACTAAATCTAATGATCTGTCAACATCTATACTTCTTTCTAAACCGCCTCTTCCACAACCTCTACTTCTTCCTCACCCTCTACCTTTGGAGCTTGAAGCTTCACTGGTGTGGATATCTTTAAGATTGTCATCTCCTCAATCGCACTCGTGCGATTAAGCTTCTTCTCATGCACTAGAAGGGAGCTTTGGAGTTTATCGATTTGCATCTCTCAGATATTGTTTGCTTCTTCAATAGAACATACAATATAATCAAACTTTGGAGTTAGAGATCACATAATCTTTTCTTCAACTGCAACATCAGTGATTGAATGTTGAGTATTTGAAGACATACAGAAAAAGTTGAGTATTTACCTTTTCATTGTTATCTATTAAATGTGTAACGGTACCTATGGTAAAACAATCTCGACCTCATCACCAACAATGTCAATGACATGTTTAAGTTTATGTACAGCTCAATAATGACATGGGAAGGCAGCACATCACTTTCCCACGTGTCATTGTCAACAACCATGTTGACAAGTCTTTGTTACTAAAGAAGGACAAGCTTCCTACCATAAAATTAGGTCACGTGTTGACATTTGCAATTCAATAACATGGATGAATTCAAAATATTTCTAACATTATCCCTCAATTTCTAGCTCGTTTAGGTTATCTTAAGAACTATATTCCACTTTCCAGCAGTCATTTAGTGCCATGTTTCTTCATTGATTCTAATATATTATGTATCCAAGATGCCACTACTTGAATCTCAAATAAACAGAGTACAATATTGAACCTATTCTATACCCCTTGATCTGCTCTTCACACTGCAAATTGAATCACCCAATGCATTTATGCTTCAAGTTTATTTAAAATTGATGCATTTTTGGCGACATTACGTCCTCAGCATCGATGCTCTATACAAACTAGGGTGTCTATAATTTTTCCTAGAAAGACAGCGTTGGTTTTATTATTCATTACATTGGTCTAAAGTTGCATTGGAGTGTCAAAAACAGGCAACTAATAATTGATTGTACTTCCCAAGATGATAATATGGACGAAATTCCTTGTCTAATCAAAAAGTATAATAAAGAAGCTAATATCTCTGTTAAAGCATACCGGTACTTCATGATAAATAAACAGCTTATAGAAGAAATAGTTCAAATTAACTTACATAATCAGCAGCTGTGTACCGACACCTAAAACCGCAGAAAAGAGGGGCAAATTTGGAGGACATCTAAACACATCTCCATGAAGATATTTCCAAACAACCTCTCGTTCATCCTCTCCATCACCGCCAGAGCTCCTAAAACGAAAACAAAATTAGGTCAGCTGAAATACAAAACTAACTTTATTGTACAACTCAAGTAAATTTAGTTACAAGACATTACTTCCTCAAATCATTCTTCAGACGGCGCATAAAAAGTAAAGTAAGCAATCCCATCAACAGAATGATTATAGCAACTGAATTAAGGAATGAAAACCAGTGGATTTTCTGACTGATGGGCAGTAGAGAAGCCCATGAATATTTATTCATCCTATTTCCATACTCTGCTGAAGTTTCATTCCAAAAAATGGAATAAGTGAACCTAACATCAAGTTCAACATCATCTGTTATATCAATGACATGATTCGGGTCGCTAAAAGCATTAACTTCAACAATTTGGTTCCGATTGAAGGAAGCATCAAACTGAATATGGGTGAAGAGGTAATATTTTGGACCCTGCTTGTCTAAGATCCAACTCTGTTCATCAACTTTGCCAACAAAACCCCACACCGGAAGATCGTCACAGTACATTTGAAAGTAAAAATCATTCCTGATGGCATCCCTGAACAGTGAAACTTCAGCACCGTTTAGCTTCTTCTCACACAGAGTCACCAAATGTTTATCTTCCCTAAATCTCATCACATGCAAGGCACCAGTCAGCCTATCACCATTTAAAGCCTCCCCTAAGGTTGCTTTCTTTTGGACTAATGGATCTGCAAGCTAAGGAGAAGACCTTCAAACATATTATTTGATACAGACAAATCATGATGATCTATTTAAAAACAATTGAATACCCACAAAGGAAGCTCTTACAATTCAAAATTCTAAATGGGCTAATGAAAGAATATGAATAAATCATGATGCAACTATAGCAATTAACGAACATATATTTGGAAAGTGACCACCATTAGCTCGGGTGTTCTATATTCACATAGATTTAATATCTATTGAAACATGTAAGTCCTTCAATTAGGTTACTTTAAAAGGCTAACCTGGACGGCAGAATGGTAATTCATAGTATTGGTAGGTCTCACTGCAAGAAAAATAAGAAACGAAGTAAACAATAAGATTGGAGCGGAAGCAAAATACAAAAGAGAGAGCAAATTCAAAATGGAATTCTTGATCCAATAGCATTTGAAAATTGTTCCAATGAGAAACGCCGGTAGAGCTACAAAGATCTTACATCGAAGAATCGTGTTTATTGGATAATCTAGATCAAATGATTATCCAATAAGACAACTAGAAGAAAAAATCTCACTTCAATTTAATAGTTTCTCCAAATTTCCATTTCGTATGTTCATCTAAAACTTGGACAATCTATGTACACATGGATATGAACATCGTCAAGAACTCATCAACGTAATCTCCAACGCAGTTCAAACTTCACACATCACTACTTCAGAGTCTAAGGGTTTATGATTAGTGCAAATCAATTAGTAAACAATGAGGATACGAACGAACGAACGACCTGGGATTGCTCAGAGGTCCGACCTTGTTCACGAACAAGGGAATTAGATCTCCGACATTGTAGCGGTGATTGAGCGGAGAAGCAACAGAGAGACGACACGAGATTCCAAGGGCTCCGAAAAGCACCAAAACCGCAATGGCTTCAAGAAGAGGCGTCGTAGACATTGTTGCAGAAGAAGAAGAAGAAGTTGGCGATCCAGTTTGAGAGGGTTTGATGAAGATTTGTTGGAAAATGAAGATTCAGAACCATGATCGACTACGCTTTGACTTCATGATTCTGCTCCTGCAGCGTTCAAATTTTGAATCTACAGGTTGAGTCGCCTCAAATTTCAAAATACGCAATATTCAGTTGGATTTACGATGGGGAAATTTGCAAGAAACGGTGTGATTTGTTGGTGGAAATGGGAATATGATTAAACTAACTACCAATCCCAATTTACGAAATTAACTAATTCAAAATTTACCATAAATATTATACACTTATTTCATTTATAAAAAATAAATATTAAATATTAAATATCTCGATTTCATAGTTAATTAGTTATGTTAATGTCAAAATCTCGGACCTCTCCAATAATACGATATTTTCCATTCTAAGCATAAGATCTCATACTATTTTAAACATCATACATATTATTGTTTTATTAATAAATTATTATAATGGTATAAGATTTATAAGTATATCTCATTTAATATAATTTATATTAAATATAAGTTTGAACTAAATATTTAAGTTTATATAATTTAATTAAAATAATTTATTTGACCATAATTATTAAGATTTATTACTCAAAAAATTGAAATTTAAATTACTAGAAATACCGTTGGTTTTTGAGACATTATAAATAAACTTTGAACTAAACGATTCATAAGTTTGTTGCAGTGCAATTTTAGTTGATTTAAGTTTGATTCTCAACTGTTCCACACGATCCAATCGGTTTAACACGGTTTGGGTTTGGTTAAGGTTAGGTGTTTTTCCTTTCCATTGAATTGGTTCATGAAACGATCTACTTTTCAAGCCTTCGTATCGTGGATCATCACTTACTAATTCGAGGGAAAAAATTTCATTTTAAAAATGGGGTGACATAAGAATGTAATTAAAAACATTGACAAAAAATGCACAACCAAAATACAAGACATAAACTTGAAAAATAAAGAATAGTAAAGATGATTATAAGAATACTCGGTAAGCAGCCTATTTGTAGGCTCTCATCGAGTATTGTCTCCCGTTCATTGTTCTTAGTGCTATGTGTCTATATCATGAATTAAGGTTTACTAATTCCATGGTATTGTCATCTTAGCCCTATCACACTCATTCAATCTATTGAACCTTCTCACTCCAAATCTACGAGTGTACTTCATCCATCCGAGTTCCTCGAGGTTCTAGGTACACTTGGCTAATTGGTTACTAATTTCATTGGTCCGTCTAAATCTTTGTGCAATATGCAGAGAGGAACATGGGCCCTCATCCAGGCTCACTGGTACTCTATTGTTGGGATTTATGTTATAAAATCTCGTAATTAATTATTTAATTTTTATTAATAATTTTGATTATGTATTTACAATTTTATATTATTCATTGTATAAAGAATTAAATTATTAATGTAACCTTGAACAACACTGGTGGACATATAAGAGAAGCATGTTCGAGTAATAACCTAAAGGGTCTATTGTATATGGATAAGGTTAAGTGCCTCATCTGATAACAAATTGGTACGACCCACTTTTTAATTGTTACATTCATTCATGTAGAGACATATGAGTGAGAGTATCTTGTACACTGAGTTTGGATAAGACTGGACTATAAAATATTTAATCTCTCTAAACTTCTTCACAAGATGATTATATGCGATCTTAATCCTCAGTGAGCTATGAATGCTTTCGTGTGATTTTTCCTTTGATTTATATGGATGGAAATGTATTTGTAGCTGATTTAATATGCCTATCATTTTGAAGGACTTGACCAAGCAGGAAGTTAAAAACATAATTTAGTATCCTAGAAATATGAGTTCGAGATTTAAATTGCCTAGATGCCTTAATAACCTAGTAAACTTCTACGACATCCAAGGAAGTTTAAGAAGGCTTACGAGGCCACTAGTACTGTGAATGATATCAACAAAGCTCAATCGTCTCCTATTTTCTTCGGTACCTTAGCAGCACTAGCCAGTGACGTAAGTCAGACCAATAGTGCTCTTATCAAGCAATAGGCATCTAGGAACTTGTACGGTCAGCTTGACTAAGGTCAAATAAGATTGAGCATCGTGGCGACTAGATGAGTTCCTATTGTGAGAAGAGACGAGTTGAGAGCCTAGGTCGTGATTTTAGAAACTCGTCCCAATAGAGAATGAGAGATTACATAAGTAGTTTAGTTCATGATGAGCGTCACTAACGTGTGTGGAAATAGTCAAGGGTCCCTTGAACAAGCTCGCTATATTGTAAATTCATTCTAAGAGGGGGGGGTGAGGCACCTCATGGGTAAACTGCACGCGTATCTCCTCGATGTTTGACTGTATGGGAATTCTTGTGGAAGGGTTGCTAGTTAACCTACGCAGGGACACTATATTGTTTTTGAACTACACTACTTGTATGCAAGCTTACTAAGTATGAGAGCATAAACTTTAGTTTACTCCCGAGTTGAGAACTTGACGAACGCTAGAATTAGAACCTGACAAACAACTCTTAGGCTCCGACAAGGTTTGTGACAAGTAGCTCTAGAATTAGGTCAAGACGTCCTAGAGATTAGACAAATGAGATCCTACAAGTAGGCTGCTTACTAACATTTTTATACTCACCCCATTGTACATTTTTTTTTCAAGTGTTCGCTAACTGTCGGTTGTAGTGAAAGAGCGTTTGGAAGCTACGATTAAAAAAACATTAGAGAACAAAAGTGACTTTTAATAGGGATTGATCTTTGTTCTCATTTTCAACTTCTAAATCCATTGGAAGGGAGGGTAGCTCTTCTATTTATAGACCAAGTGGTGTGGGCCTAGATTTAGTTCACTTTGAACCTAACCCATTGAGCTTGGGCTTTCATTAGTTTTTGATCTAACCTTTTGGGTTTGGACTTTGTTCGTGTTTGGTTCTGACTTACCTTCTTCGGCTTTAAATAGTATCTCCACGAACCAACACAAATCGTTCTAACATATTTTGTTCTCATTTATATATTATTGGATAAAAGTCCCACATCGGCTAATTTAGAGAATGATCATGGGTTTATAACGAAAGAATACTATCTTCATTGGTATGAGGCATTTTGGGGAACCCAAAGCAACGCTATGAAAGTTTATGCTCAAAGTAGACTATATCATACCATTATGGAGATCCATGATTTCTAACATGGTATCGAGCCATGCCCTAAGCTTTAAACTTAGTCATGCCCAATAAATTGGCAAATCCTCAAATGTCGAACAAAGTATTGTAAGCCGACTAAAGTATTGAACAAAGGGTGCATACTTTGTTCGAGGGGAAGGTGTCGAACATACTTCATTCATGTACCTCTCATTTACTCGAGTATCACATCTAATCACAATTACGTATTAGTGTGTCTACTTCTAACTTGAGAAACATATGAAAAGAAAAACTACGCACTCACTTCACCCATTCAATATCATAATACTTTCACCTTAATAGACTTGTTTACATCTTATTAAATGTATTCCTAACTTTAAAGATAATTTGATAAGTCAAATATGTCTACTTAGATTATTTCGACGAAATTCAATTTATTATAAACTAAATGTTCAAATACATTAGGTGAAGCTTCTACGAAATTAGGTTTAGGTGAATGAAATTTACCAAAGGAGAGTGAATTTTGTGTGTTAATCCAATGCTAATATTTGCCAAGTACAAATAATTCAAAGCTAACACAAACAAACCAAAATATAAGCACAAATGTATAACCGTCGAAACTTGAACTTGCATAAATTTTACGTTGGGTTACGAGTGTTCAAAAAATTCGATCAACCTAACCCAACTCGTACCGATTGAGTTGAACTATAAATTTATTTAGGTTAGGTTCATGAGTTCTCCTAAAACTAGACTGAGTTAAACTGAACTAACTCAAATTTATTATTAATTTTAAAAAATATATCTTTACTTACTCTACAATTATAACCACATGCATTTAGTTTATTTTTATTTAATTTCAGAATTTATTATTATTATTATTATTTATTCTTCTAAATTTTAATTAAATATTTGAAAATAAATAAATATAGGTTTACGAAGTAATATTTTAGTTTAATTTTTTTTTTGAATAAACGACCCAAACAACCTAAACTAATAAATAAATAAATAAAAAATTATAGTTGGATTGGATTGGATTCATTGTTTAATAAAAGTTGTCCAAATTGAAAAAATTTACAACCGAATAATTAGATTGGGTCTTAAATATATCTCAACCTGACCCGACACAACTTGTGAGAATCCCACATTGGTTGGGGAGGAGAACGAAACACTAAGGGTGTGGAAACCTTTCCCTAGCAGATGCGTTTTCGAGCCTTGAGGGGAAGCCCAAAGAGGACAATATTCACTAGCGGTGGGCCTGAGCCGTTACAAATGGTATCAGAGCAAGACATTGGACGATGTGCCAACAAGAAGACCCTTCCCCGAAGGGGGGTAGTTACAAGGGGGTGGATTTGGTGGAGGTCCCACATCGATTGGAGAAAGAAACGAGTGCCAGCAAGGACGCTAGGCCCCCTAAACATTTGATATATTAAAATATTTTCATTTGAATAGGTCGAATTAAGGTTCGGGAAAATTTTAAAATATCATACATAAAAGACATAAACATTTGATATATTAAAATATTTTCATTTGAATAGGTCGAATTAAGGTTCGGGAAAATTTTAAAATATCATACATAAAAGACATCATTAAAAGTATATGAAGTATAAGTACAAAAAAAATTTATAGGTACGTCTTTATAGTTACCTAATTCATGATCATAATTTATATATTTTTTTAAAAAAGAGAGAAAAATTAAAATATTCATAATCTTTTGTGGCCAATCATTTGTATCATAAAGCAATAACAGGTAAAAAGCATAGTAACCAACAAAGTAGTAGATGAATTAACATTTAAAATTTTCATAATTCTCTCCTCCTTTCATCTTTTTCCCCCTAAAAATATTATTTAAGATATTGCTCTCGAGTATATAGGTTTTTCAAAGTTTGTCGTGTCGTGAATCTATTTTGACTTGAAATAAATGTTGGTTGATCTCTGAACTTTTTCTTCGTTACGTTTATTTTTTCGGTTGTTTCTTTCTGTTTAGTCAACTAGAATATGAGTGCGTATAAATTCGTATGAGAGCAAATTGTAACTTTCGTTAGGATGTTTTGGACATAAAACAACTACTCATAAGTTTTAAGATGGTTGAGGCTTCATTTCGTTGCATCTCGTGTGGAAATAAGGGG